GCCAACTTGGACATATCTGGCACATACATTCACATGTATGTGTCAACCTGTACAAAAGAAAACCTTTAGGTGATCAATGTGTGTCTTTATATCTGATCACTTGATGTCTAGGTTGGATATAAGGGCCAATGATGACCGCCAGCAATGGCACCTCTGTATGGTCTACCACAAACCCCATGGATTCTTGTAACCTATGTCAGTTATGAAGCCTCCATTACTCAGAGGAGAGCAAACCTTGGGAACACAGTGATCCTGAGACATTGCTACACTGTAGCTGATCCACCAATATAATACATTTTATAAACAAACCCAAATGTTTATAAATAATGACACATGCATTCCAATGTTTATAAATAATTTCATATGTATTCCAATGTTTACAAATAATGACACATACATTCCAATGTTTATAAATAATTTCATATGTACTCCAATGTTTATAAACATAAACTTTAAATTATGAATGTAAAGTAGCAAATGTTTGACCTGAGAGACACCCAGAGTACCAGCTCAGTGCACAGAAAATTACAAGAAGGAAGATGGAGTTCTGGAAGGGCCAATGGCTACTTTTTATTTCTTGCAGAAAATGTACTTAGTTTGAAAAAAAAAAAAAAAAGTAAAGATTGTGAAGCCACGACATTAAAGTGGAACGTTAAGTCAAATAATAAAAATGGGCAAACAGGCAAGAATTATTAATGCAGAAGAGACATGCTTTGTCTTTTCTGCTTTAAAGCTACTTACCTTACAAGAATGAAGTCATCCCCGCCCAGCCATTGACAGTGGCCGGGGATCGACACCTGGAAGCCGGCCACTCAAAGATGTCAGCAGGCGGGTGGAGAGAAGAGGGACGCCACATTGATGAAACTTGGGTAAGAATAGTTCTGCTTTAAAGTGATTGTAAAGCTTTCATTTTCTTTTTTTTTTAAATAAAATAATAAACATGTCATACTTACCTGAAAGCTATTGCACAGAGCAGCCCCAGGCTCTTCTTCTGGGGTCCCATGCATGCTGGCGCTCCTGGCTCGACCACTTTGGCAAGTGCCCCCAAGAAAGCCGATTCCAATGGGGGCACATGTGCGGCTCAATCCCGAGCTGCAATGTCTTTTTCTATAGATGCAAAGTGTGTGGCTTGGCCCCACCCTCTCATCACAGAATTTGATTGACAGCAGTGGGAGCCAATGGCTTCCACTGCTAACACTAGGCCCAGTGAGGAGGGAGAGAGTGCAGAGAGCTCAGATCGGGCTCAGGTAAGTATAGGAGCATGGGGGGGGGGGGGGGGGGGGGGGGGGGGGGGTCCTGTGACACAGAAGGCACAACATAACATACTACTTGCATTCTGAAATGCACCAGAGCTTATGTTTTTTTGCATGTGATTAAGTATTCTTTGCTAAGTAAAGCTTTACCTCATTTGCTAAGCTCTAGAGCAGGGGTCTCCAAACTGCAGCCTTTTGCTTGCCTTTTTCCAGCCTTGGAGCACTATTCCTCCCATTAATACCAACAAGGAGGCACCATTCCTTCCAATGATGTCAACAGTGCGGAACCATTTCTCTTACTGACACCAACAATGGGCCATTTTTCCTTCCATTGACACCATTGAGTGGTACCATTCTTCCCACAAAACCAGCAATGGGACATAATTTCTCCTACTGATATAAACAAATAGGACCTATTGCCCCCAGTGATAATAATGATAGGGCACTATTCTTCACACTAATACCAATGTTGGGACACTATTCCTCCCACTAGTACCAATGATGGGATACTACTCCTCCCAGTGATAACAATGATAGGACACTATTCCTCCCACTAATACCAGAGATGGGACACTATTCCTCCCACTAATACCAATGATGGGACACTATTCCTCCCAGTAATACCAATGATGGGACACTATTCCTCCCACTAATACCAATGATGGGGCCCTATTCCTCCCAGTAATACCAATGATTGGACACTATTCATCCCACCAATACCAGAGATGGGACATTATTCCTCCCACTAATACCAGAGATGGGACACTATTCCTCTCACTAATACCAATGTTGGGACACTATTCCTCCCACTAATACCAATGATGGGGCACTATTCCTCCCACTAATACCAATGATGGGGCACTATTCCTCCCAGTAATACCAATGATTAGACACTCTTCACCCCACCAATACTAGAGATGAGACATTATTCCTCCCACTAATACCAGAGATGGGACACTATTCCTCCTACTAATACCAATGTTGGGACACTATTCCTCCCACTAATACCAGAGATGGGACACTATTCCTCCCACTAATACCAATGATGGGACACTATTCCTCCCAGTGATAACAATGATAGAACACTATTCCTCCCACTAATACCAGAGATGGGACACTATTCCTCCCACTAATACCAATGATGGGGCACTATTCCTCCCACTAATACCAGAGATGGGGCACTATTCCTCCCACTAATACCAATGATGGGGCACTATTCCTCCCACTAATACCAATGATGGGGCACTATTCCTCCCACTAATACCAATGATGGGACACTATTCCTCCCACTAATACCAATGATGGGACACTATTCCTCCCACTGATACCAATGATGAGACACTATTCCTCCCACTAATACCAATGATAGGACACTATTCCTCCCACTAATACCAGAGATGGGACCAGGGGTGGACTAACAACTCATGGGGCCCCCGGGCAATAGGGGATCATGGGGCCCCTGTGTCCTCACCCACACCCAAAAAAACCTATGAAAAAGCCAATGAAAGGTACCAGGAGAATCTCATTGGGTCCCCTACTGACCCTGGGCCCTCGGCAGTGCCCGAGTGCTCGAATGGTCAGTCCGCCCCTGGATGGGACACTATTCCTCCCACTAATACCAATGATGGGACACTATTCCTCCCACTAATACCAATGAAAGGACACTATTTCTCCCACTAATACCAGAGATGGGACACTATTCCTCCCAGTGATACCGATGATGGGGTACTATTCCTCCCACTAATACCAATGATGGGACACTATTCCTCCCACTAATACCAATGATGGGTACTATTCCTTCCACTAATACCAGAGATGGGACACTATTCCTCCCACTGATATCAATGATGGGACACTATTTCTCCCACTGATACCAATGATGGGACACTATTCCTCCCACTGATACCAATGATGGGACACTATTCCTCCCACTAATACCAATGTTGGGACACTATTCCTCCCACTAATACCAGAGATGAGACACTATTCCTCCCACTAATACCAATGATGGGGCACTATTCCTCCCACTGATACCAATGATGGGACACTATTCCTCCCACTAATACCAATGATGGGGCACTATTCCTCCCACTAATACCAGAGATGAGACACTATTCCTCCTACTAATACCAATGATGGGACACTATTCCTCCCACTAATACCAATGATGGGACACTATTCCTCCCACTGATACCAATGTTGGGACACTATTCCTCCCACTAATACCAGAGATGAGACACTATTCCTCCTACTAATACCAATGATGGGGCACTATTCCTCCCACTGATACCAATGATGGGACACTATTCCTCCCACTAATACCAATGATGGGGCACTATTCCTCCCACTAATACCAATGATGAGACACTATTCCTCCCACTAATACCAATGATGGGACACTATTCCTCCCACTAATACCAATGATGAGACACTATTCCTCCCACTAATACCAATGATGGGACACTATTCCTCCTACTAATACCAATGATGAGACACTATTCCTCCTACTAATACCAATGATGGGACACTATTCCTCCCACTAATACCAATGATGGGACACTATTCCTCCCAGTGATACCAATGATGAGACACTATTCCTTCCAGTGATACCAATGATGGGCACTATTCCTTCTACTGATACCAATGATGGGGCACTATTCCTCCCAGTGATACCAATGATGGGGCACTATTCCTCCCACTGACACCAATGATGGGGCACTATTCCTTCCACTAATACCAATGATGGGGCACTATTCCTCTCAGTGATACCAATGATGGGACACTATTCCTCCCACTAATACCAATGATGGGACACTATTCCTCCCAGTGATATCAATGATGGGACACTATTCTTCCCAGTGATACCAATGATGGAACAATATTCCCCCCAGTGATACAAATGATGGGGCACTATTCCTCCCACTAATATCAATCATGGGGCACTATTCCTTCTCCAAGCCTGAGACATTGTTTACTCCCTCTGCCACTGGGGCTTTTTTTATTCCCACTGACCACTCCAGCCCCCCTAAAGTCTGAAGAACAGTAAATTGGCCTTTTGTTTAGAACGTTTGGAGACCCCTACTCTAGAGCAACTGCAATTGCACTTTGCAAAGTGCACAATCTATTTGCCTTTAGTAAATCAACCCACTAAACTTGCGTCAATGCATGAAAGGTATGCTGGGGTAAAGCTTGGGTTCATGCAAAGGTGTAAATAGGCCTTTAAGGACTAGTAAGCTGCAATATATTGTCATTTTTGTCCCTGAGCTGAGAACAGTCAATAGCACACACCCTTGTCTTCAATGGCCCATTGACTTGCAGAGCTCAGGGAAGAAATTAACACCTTTTCAAAGGCTGAGGCTGCCGATTGTCTGATGCTCTCTGGAGGTGGTCAGAGGATCCAAATGGTTAAAGATTTTTTTTTTTGGTCGTCCCGGTGGGAGGAGTCCTCCTGGTGATGCGACAATTAAAGATGAACTTTGGGTGAACTAATTTATCTGAGCAAGGTAAGAGGAGGAAAAAAAAGGGGGCAGACCTGGAGAAGGTATATAAAGACAGAGACCTGGGGGGTGCTAGTATGTAGACCGGGGATCAGGTAGACGCACCATGGAGCTGTACACTCTGGTCACCAGCGTTCTCTGCACGCTGCTACTGCCGGTCTTGCTGCTCATCACTGCGACCAAACTGTGGCAGCTCTACTGCTTCAGTCGCAGGGACACGAGCTGTCATTGGCCGCTGCCGCCGGGCACCATGGGCTTACCCTTCTTCGGAGAGACTCTGCAAATGGTCCTGCAGGTAAGTACTATGAGATCATACGATGTCACACCTGTGCTCCCAACCTAGGGAATCCTGCACCTAGTTGACTGTATCCTCTCCTTGTATTACAGAGACGCAAATTCCTGCAGCTGAAGCGCAGAAAGTACGGCCACATCTACAAGACGCATCTGTTCGGAACCCCCACCGTGCGCGTATTGGGCGCAGACAACGTGCGACAGATCCTCCTGGGGGAGCACAAGCTGGTGTCTGTCCAGTGGCCGGCGTCTGTCCGCACCATCCTGGGCTCTGGATGTCTGTCCAACCTGCATGACAGCCAGCACAAGCACATGAAGAAGGTGAGTGAGCCGATCGAATCCATTGATCAATACTTTCCCATTACTGACTAGCACGGCATGCTGTACTGATGTCTTTTTTAATGATCAGATTTTTCTTTAGGGATGTCCTAGGTTTCATTTGTAGTAATTGAGTTCTGACCGTTGCAAACACGCTGCGATAATGAGTATCCCTGCCGATCAGAGTTCTGGTATTCTGGATCTCTGATCAGACTTTGGTACTTAGGCTGGCCATACACTATACAATTTTCTGTCCAATTTCCTTTAGATTTACCGTCAACTAGGACACAATTGAAAGTGTTTAGGTCTGACCTATGTTTTTTTGGTAAATCTAAAGCCAAATTCTCAAGAAATGTGTATAATGTATGGCCAGCCTTAGAACTTGAACAACTTGTTGCACATCCTATACACCAGGCTGTGTCAATAAATCGGTTTTGCTGCTCAGATCTTTAGGAATCGTTTTTGTATGGTCCTGGAATTGTGTATGGTCCGTTTTCAGCATTGGCATTCGATCAAAGTTGGGTTTCTTTGGTCTGACCAACTTTATTTTATGCACCATGCTGCTTTATTGATCTTTAGGGATCTCTTTGTACATCTGTGCATTTTGTGGGGTCTGATCAATATTCCATTTCTAGATTCTCACCGACCTGTTGCTCACATGTTGATCAGATCTTATTTCAGGGCTATATTTTACATCTCTTGGCAGTACTGGTCAAAATTGGGTCTCTCGGGTTCTGACCATCGATTACAAACTATCAGATCTTTGTACATCTGCATTTCGTGGGGTCTGATCAATATTCCATTTCTAGATTCTCACATGTTGTTCAGATATTATTTCGGGGCCATATATTACATCTCTTGGCAGTACTAATCAATGTCGGGTCTCGGGTTCTGACTATCGATTACAAACAATAAGATCTTTAGGGATCTCTTTTGGACGGTACATGTAGTTTGTATGGTCCTTGTATTTGTTGGATCCATTTGCAGCGTTGGGAAGCTGATCAGAAGTTGGGATTCTCAGGTCTGGCCAACCTGTTGCACATCAGTTTTCTATTGATCAGATCTTAGGGCAGGGATCGATTTTTCATCTCTTGCAGTAGCCGTTTGATTCCTGGGTCTGATGCAGATCATGTTCGGATTCCTGATGCATAATCGATGTGTATGATCAGATCTTCATGGATGGATTCTAATGTGTAATTGCAGTATCTCAGTGTCGGGGTAGTTGGGGTTCTCAGGTGTGATGCATTCATATGTATTTTGATTCGTTTTTTCAGGGATATATTTTATATGGTCTACTTTCAGCATCAGTGCAGAAATTGGATCGATCAGGAATGCTCAGTCCATTTGATGCATTAATATTTTAATTAGGTTTTTTTCAGGGGACTTTGGGATCAGCTGAAAGTTGGTTTGTAGCCAATCGGTTGCAGATCAATGTGTATTGTGATCAGATCTTATTCCAGGGATAGATTTGGGGTCTATCTGCAGTATTTCACTATAGGAATATTTGGGGTTCTCAGGTCTGATCAACCTGTTGTCCATTTATGAACAGATCATGGATGTATTCTACGATCACTTTGCAGTAAATGGGGTCTGATCGGAGTTGGATTCTTCGATTCTGTCCCTCCTGTTGCACATCAGTGTATTATGATCAGATCTTGTTCCGGGGATATTTGTTGTATCTGATTGGAGGAATAGCCGGCTGGCTTAGTTCTGATGACCTGTTGCACATGTGCGGATCCTGCTGCTGATCTCTGCAGTGGATCTTGTGTATCCAGGTAGATCAGATAATGATCACTCTCCTTCGGCTCTATGGGTGGCTCTGATTAATCCATTAAAGCAATTAGATTTGTTTGTGATGGAAGGGCAGGGGGTTTAATCCCTTCCCTGCGGAGTCTTCCAGGGGGGGTAACTCATTTACCCACACCTATTAAATGAAGGGATTACCTTTTCACCTCTTTATTAATGCAATCCTATTACCATACATTAACCCATTGCAGGCTGACTTAGTTGCTTGTTACCCCATCAGGTGATCATGCAAGCCTTCTCCCGGGAGGCTCTGCAGAACTACGTGCCGATCATGGAGGAGGAGATGAGGAGTGCCATTGACTTGTGGCTGCAGAGCGGTTCCTGCGTGCTGGTCTATCCGGCTGTCAAGCGGCTGATGTTCCGGATCGCCATGAGGCTGCTGCTGGGATTCGAACCCGCACACATGGACCCGGCGCACGAGCAGCCGCTGGTGGAGGCCTTCGAGGAAATGATCCGCAATCTCTTCTCGCTGCCGATTGATGTGCCCTTCAGCGGCCTCTACAGGGTAAGTGTGAGAACTGCAGCGCACTGATTTCTGCTTTATCCCAGTATGGAACTTCAATTGTCGGCAATCTTCTAAAAATGACATCTTTAATAGTCACAAGTTGTGTTCCCACTCCATGTAATGTAGCTTTATTACATGTAGATCTATTTGGAAAGGGTGACAATGGCCGTTCTGCAGTGAAATTGCTCAGCGACATTAGCATCCTATGGACAGTGTAGACTTTAAGGGATATGCGGGGCGGACTGACAACTCATGGGGCCCCTGGGCAATATGGGATCATGGGGCCCCTGTGTCCTTGCCCAAACTCAAAAAAGCCTATGAAAAAGGTACCAGGGGCATCTCATGGGGCCCCCTACTGACCCCCGGCCCTTGGGCAGTGCCCAAGTTTCCAAATGGTCAGTCTGCCCCTGGGGACATGTACTATTAAATTGAAGCCCAGCTCCAGATACAGCAACAGGTTTTTTTTTTTTTGCAAGCAGCTCCAGTAATGTTATACATTTGTCACAACCTGCAACTGTCGCATTTGCTGGACAGCTTATCTGCATGTAACTGTTGGAAAAAATATAAAGGCACATGAAATCATAAGATAATGGATTATGCTGACCATTTTAGGCAGCGCTTTATTATATTTTGTACATTCATTACATCAGTCCCTGCCCTCGAGCTTACAATCCAAGGTCCCGATCTCACAAGCATTTGTACACATTAGGGCCAATTTAGATAGGATCAAATTAACCTACCAGCATGTCTTTGGAGTGTGGGAGGGAATCTAAGTACCTAGAGAAAAGCCGTGCAGGAAAATGGCGAACAAGCAAACTCCATGCAAATAGTGTATTGATTAGGACTCTTTAACTGGGGACACTGGTGCTGCAAAATTTATCTTTTTGTAAACAACTAAAAATGTTTCTCTCATATTAATCGTGTGCTGAAACTTTATACTGGCAATGAATTTAAAAGCGTCGACTGCACCCCTGGGGTACTTGTACCTGGGTTCTTCAGTGTCTGAAAACCTATCTACATCTGCTTTTGTGCATTAGCATCATCTTGCCTTTGTCACATCACCCGTTGAACTAGCACCTGGTGACCCATATGTTCATTATATATATATTTTTTTTTAGGGTTTGCGGGCTCGAAATATTATCCATGCCAAGATAGAGGAGAACATAAAGGAAAAGCTGAAGAGAGAGCCAGAGAACTCGTGTAAGGATGCACTGCAGCTACTCATAGACCATAGCCGCAAAAACGGGCAACTGGTGGACCTGCAGGTAACTTGAAAGACCTTTTTTGATTCCCATAGAACATGTCTTAATGAGACTTCAGGTCAATGCAGCTTTTGTTGTAGGACTCTTATTCACTGCCAGTTTTCTGGCTGACAATTTTTCACACTTTACAATGCTAATAGGTTTTCTGCTCTATTTAGGCACTGAAAGAATCTGCCACAGAACTCTTATTTGGGGGCCATGGGACAACTGCCAGTGCAGCTACATCCCTGATCACATTCCTTGCCCTTCATAAAGAGGTTGTACAGAAAGTCCGGCAAGAACTTGAATCTAAGGTAAGATGGCTTTTTGAGGAATTTGGGTCTGGAAGTTATGGGGAATTTAAAATGTAAAAACATATTTATCACTCTAAACTTATAGGTGTTTAGTAACTTGGCTTCATGTTGAGTTGGGGTAATTTCCTGAGTAAATGAGGTCAGCTTTGTTTACGTTGAACGTTCATTGAATATGTAGCAATGTCAAAAGTTTGTGCACCAATCTCATGGGACAATTATGTAGTGTGGAACTTCTAAATATTTTAGGGAATCTACTTTTTTCTTTGCCATCAAAAATCTTTATCATGTTATATCTAATGGGTTGGTATGTATGGAGGGTGTGGGTTACAGCACTTTTCACTGCCTTAGTGAAGGTGCTTTTTAGTGTTCTTTAATATTTCCAAACTTTATCAGTGAGGTGACAAGCTGCAATTGCATTAATGTATAAAATATTGCAAACTGTAGAAACCAAGCCTATTTTAATATTATATGGCTTATGATATGTTGCTGCAGTTTTATAATGGCAATTTTCCATTTTAGGGTCTCCTATCTAATAAACCTGGAGAAAAGAAGGACCTAAGCATAGACATTCTGCAACGGCTGACATACACTGGGTGTGTCTTAAAGGAAACCCTTCGACTCAGCCCACCAGTTCCTGGGGGATTTCGTGTTGCTCGAAAGACATTTGTCCTAAATGTAAGTATGTGAATGACATAAGTGTGGGAACAACTTCAAATTGTTTAGAAAAACTGAAATATTAAGGTGGCTTCTAAGATGGATCTTAAAATCTTCCATTTGGCTGTCCTGAGGACAGCAGTGCCTTAGGCAAGAGCCAATCCTTGTTTGTATGATTTTCTCCAAATGACCTGTTGAAAGGGGAAAATTGCTCACATGTTTACTGCAGCTATTGTACAGGGTTGCTGTTGGCTTTTTGTGTTTTTATTGTATGCTCTCCACAATTTAGAGGGTACAGGACACTTTGATCTAATGGTGAGTTCACAAGGTCCTTTACAGCAGTGCTCCGGACTTCTGAAAACTTGAGGCAATTTCATGCTTGTCAGCCGCCTCCTGGTGACCCTAATTGGAGACCTTTTTTTACTGTTTTATAGCATCCTGTTGGACAGGCCAGTGCTGCATGTCACACCTATGTAATGTCATTTACCTGCATTGACTCTGGCTTTATACTAAAGTATTGTTTCTTTTCCAGGGCTATCAAATTCCAAAAGGCTGGAATGTCATCTACAGCATTGCTGACACTCATGATGTTGCAGAGATCTTCCCAAATAAAGACGAATTTGATCCTGACAGATTTCTAACTCCTTTTCCTGAAGACTCCTCCAGATTCAGCTTCATTCCATTTGGAGGAGGTGTACGAAGCTGTGTGGGCAAAGAATTTGCCAAAATGCTCCTGAAGATCTTCATAGTTGAACTGTGTCGAAGCTGCGACTGGGAGCTCTTAAATGGACCACCAACCATGAAGACTGGTCCAATTGTTTATCCTGTGGACAATCTTCCCACAACATTCAAACCTTTCAGCAGCACGTTTTAAAATTGCTAACTTGTTATATATATGTAAAAAAAACCCCATTATATAGCATCTTTAATGTGTATATAACGCTTTTATAACTTGCTTATTTTATATTTAATTTGTACAGTAACCTAGTTATTTATACATTTTCTCCCAGACCTAAGAATGAACTCCTAAGCACTCCATGTGGGTTAAGACCCAACAATTCTTTTCTTGTAGATATGTTTATTGGTATTAAATGCCCTAATGAATGTACTAGCGGGCAGGCTTGTGACTCTGTACATGTGTTTGTATATATGAATTTCATGATGTGTGCAAATAAAGAATTGCAGGTTATCCGTGAAGTGTGTTCTATAGGTAAAAATTCTGTATGATTATCTCTAGAATGCTTGGAATTTGGAATTTCACAAATGGGATTCTTTCATATTTTGAAGGACTATGCCTAAAATTAAATACCCCCCCCCATCCTTTCTGGTTGACAATCTTGATAAGTGCTATCCTGAAAATACTGTTCATCAGCCACATATGAAGACCTTATTTATTAATCACTGATGCTCATGAAGGTTTATGGACAATGTGTCCCATTGCCCCATACCTGCATTGATACATTGGCTGTTTCATTCATTTTTAAATAGCACACCTCAACACAATAAGGCAAATCACTAAGTTTGTGGACATGAAAAACTGATCTAGTAAGCAGACCTACCTGAATATATAATCAAAGATTTTTTATTTGCCCTCCTAATACTCAGTAAATCTAAAGCTATCCATACAAATTGCACAATATCATTTTAGATTTAATAGCCATTCTCCCACAATTCTATTCCTATGCACTTATCTTCATGCTCTGTACCCTGGCTGCCAATATACTTGTGACTACCCAAACTTGGGTGACATCACAAACTTCTTCCAATATCCTAATTAGGAACACAACACCTACACAGCAATGTATTCTAATTTTCCAGTCCATTGAACATTCATATTTGTTAGGAAGACAGTTTTTGTAGTGTGAGGGTCTATAGGATTGGATGTATGGCTTTTCTAGGTAGGTTCCCACACTACATAGTTGGAAAATCTACCCAGTGGGTTGAACAAAAAACCTGACTTTCTTCAACACAAGATCTCTCCTGTTCAATTGCATTCTGACAGGGAAATTCTCCCCCAAATACATTGATCAGCGCCTGCAGCTATTTGCTGCAAGCACTGACAGCATCGCACTATACAGAGTAGCTTGGTATGCTAACTTTGAGATCCTTGAAACTGATTGCCAGACAAACCTATATAAGGACTTTTCTACCTGCAAAAAACATTCTGAATTCTTACACCGGGCTCTGTAGATTGGTTGGTGACCTCAGGTTTACAGTTAAATTGGGAAGTTCAGTCAATCTGGTTTTGGACAGTGTTAGGAAGGGTTGGCACCTATGTTTGGTTTATACTGTTGACTAAAGGCCCCTCCTCTCACAGCGGGGATGTAGATGTGTAGGTTTTTTTTTTTTTTTAACCATATCTAAAGTGATTTTTGTCTGCCTTGGATAAGTTTTGCATCACTTTGTCCTGGAGACCTTTCCACAGCTGCCCAATACTAGTTTTATCTAAATGAGCATCCAGCTGGTTTGAATGGTAATCCCATTACCTTCCTGGAGTTCCTCTATAATGAGGAAGCATACAAGGACTGTCCGAAGGTGGCAATGTTTTTTTATAGAATGCAAGAGTACCTGTGGGCTTGATGTTTTCTTGTTCAGCCAAATTATTTGACAGTGACAGCATCTGATAGAATGCTGTTACTGTTCCACAATTATTTTCCTCCCAGCTCAGTCAATATTTAAAATTAGTTTTGTAGTAGCGTGGTGCTTGTAGAGCCACCCAAGGCAGAAGTTTGACTGATGTAGCAGGAACCTGACTGAGATTCAAGCCATCTATGGTCAGCCATAGTAACTTACTGCCCAAGAGCCATAACACTATCAGGGTCAATGTTGATGGCAACAATTTGAAATAACCATAAATTTATTTACAGGAAAATATGACCTGCAGTAGACCACCTGCTTCAGGCAGGTATTACATTCTGTACTTGTATAGGAACAAAAAAAACTGTAATGCAAACAAAAGCTCATTGACACAGGCCCTAACATCTTCAAACTTTCCATTTTTTTCCAGCAGGACGTTAAACCTTTAACTCCATAGCAATTTTTAATACACATATTGTACAGTATATTTAAATTAAGTGGGATACCTGTAGAGAGCAAGAGGCTCTATATTACTTATACTAAACTAGACCTCAAAACCTCCTGGAATATGTGATGTACAGGAGGCTTCAGGGAGGAGGATATGACCTTCTTGTGTAGGCAAACAAATCTGTAAGAGAGGGCCATATCCAAGAGGTATTTTGGTGGGTAAAACTATCTAAAGTAGTTTGGGTGAAGGGTAACATTTTTTTCCTTCCTACCTAAACTTCAAAGAAGCCATTTTTGAAAAATAACACAGAGAATTCCATTGCTGACTTCATTCTGATTCTACAAATTCTAGTTGTTTGGGTATCTTACTGACCATGTTGCTCATTACTATGAGTCACTAGTCAAGAACCAGTCTGTAGACAAGACTTCTGACTTTCCTATATATAAACTTGTTACCTGATTAAGTGAATAGGAAACTACTGAAGCCAAGAAACTTGCATTTTCTAAAGTATGTCAACACTGCCATTTTTTTTCTCTAGAAGATATACTTTTTTACCATCTTTTGTTGCATCTAAGTGCTACCGATTTCCTACAGTCTCTTTGCAGCCACTTCCTGTTCACATTATTGCTGAGAATGGGCTTCCTGATGGTGACAGTGGGAAATGAGCATTGGCACAGTGGCATATAGTGAGAACCAGAGAGGCGATATTCCTGTGGGGTTGGACCTAGATACAGTCTCCTTTGGTAATTTGTGGAGTTCCAAAATATATTGAGATAATCAGATTCTTTCAGATAACTGTTCCTTCCAGGACATATGCATATTTTCAAAGGGAGATTATCGATTGCAGAATATAAAAAAAATAAAGCAAAGCATGCTGGTTACATTGCAGATTTTGGTTTTTTTTTTTTTTTGGGGGGGGGGGGGGGGCAAATTTAACAACATTAATGATTAGAAGGAAAGTTGGAACTCAAATCTCAATGATGAAATATGAATCAATGGAATTATTGCTCAAAAAAAACTTTAAACTTTTTATGAAAAGGGTAAAAGGACATCCTACAAAGCCCTGACTGATAAACATGACTCTTGTGTGAATGAACTCTGTACATGTAATAAATATGTGCAAATCAGTGTATGGTGGTATATCGTGAACTGTCAGCAATCAATGGTGTAGGATCTTTGTAATAAATTGAGTTTGGATAATCCCCAGTGCCTTCCACATTGTGAGTGAATATGCTTTTCATGAAACTTCTCAAACACTGTTTACCCAAGCCATGCTTCTACATAATCCTGAAATAACAGTTTAACAGAAATGCATTAAGTGAAATAATTCAAGGAAGGAAAATCAAGACTTATCTCTAGGCACATGGCTGACATGACTGATAAAATGGCCTTGTTCTGACCTGTTGAACCTTTGGTAACCTTCGTAAAAGCTTAGCCCTGTCACTCCTATCTGTATAGGCACATCTCCCAGTGAAGGCTAGACATTAACCTCACTACTTCAACTTGCCTGTGTCACGCTTTTCAGCACACCCTCTTGTTTTGGATTGAACTGTACTGTATGTGGTGCCCATTATATGTAATTTTTATTCTGCAGTTCTCTGTTGTGTATACATATTTTTTACATGTTATTAGGCACACTAGATATTTTTTATGCAACAAGGCTGGTCATACTCTTTTAGATTTTTAAACAGTGGGGATGGAAGAATCTCCATTGGAGCTATTGTATTTTGACAGCTGCTGCCAGAATACCCGAACAGTGGCTGCAGTCACTATTCGGCCAACAGTTTTTCATCTGGTTATCAGAATAAATATCAGATCAAAAGAATCTAGGTGGCAGGGTGACGTCAGGGCCACCCACACCTCAAAAACTTCAGGTTCACCAGAAACTAGCCAAAATGTGCTCCATGCATGGCCAGCTTAAATATGGGATAATTCAACAAGGGAGCAACATTACATACTGTAACCAATCAGATTTTGCTTTACTGAAGTTAATTCTGTGAAAGATGAATACTGATTTCTGATATGCTAGTTTGCCCCAGATGAACTGGTAAGCCAATACAACTACTTGTGTTAAGGATTGAGCTGCTAGGAGTAGATGCCTGAGTTTGGTCAGATTGCCTTTATAACCGACCACCCTAACTAGCCTATGGTCAGCATATTCTAAAAAAGAGAACATTTGCACATATCCTGTGAACACCGCCTTAGGAGCCTTTGTTGTTTTTTTTTGCAGCCTAAAATTTAAGCTAAGCGCCTGACCTTATTAGCCAAAGGCTGGAATATATATTAAGGCAACTTTAACACGCTGATGCAAAACTCACATACATGAATGCTCCAGGGCTCTGTTGGCACAATAACATCATTGTAACTAAAGAGAAGATGCCATAGCAGAAAGCAAGGAACTTCATATGTTGGACTGCTTAGGGTTCTGTTGATACCTTAGCTCAGATAGCTCATTGTATAGCTGTGTTAATTAGAAAAATTTTCCATGAAAGCAGGGGCAGATGTCAGTGTTTGCTGCAGAGGTCAGAGCTCAGGTCATCATGACCGCCATGCCAGGGTTCAGCTCATGCAGCTATAGAAGTCAATATGGGTATCCATGATAATACCTAACAATGACTGGCAAAGACGACCTGTCTTTTATTTAAATATATTCATCAAAAAATGTACTGTAAGTTATATTTTATGGCATTCCAATTAAGTGGTGTCCTTAGCAGGCACTGTAGACCTGAATTTCAGACCAGATATGGACAAACTGCTATTAT